GAGATTTTAGATTTTCGGTTTATTTTGGTATTTTTTGAAAGCATTTGATTTTGATATTTTGATTGATTTGGATGCATGAATTTTGAAACTAATCTTGCAGAAGTGCAAGAATTTGAAACTAATCTTGCAGAAATGATGTAGTTTTGAAATTGATCTTGCAGAAATGTTGGAATTTTGAAATTGATCTTGTAGAAGTGAAGAAAATTTTAAAATTGATCTTACAGAAGTGCATGAATTGCGAAACTGATCTTGCAGTGTGCATAAATATTTACGAATCTAAAATCAGTTTGAAGTTTTTACAATGATGTCAGTTTGTAACTTTGGATTAGTTTAGTAACAAGTCTATTTGGGGGCATGGCTGAAATTTTACTAGTTTTGTGGTAGGTTTGATGGGGTTTGAGCCTTTGTCTCTTTTTGAAATGATTTAAAACTAGCGGAGTTCTACAAATTGTATTTTGTGTTTTTATCACCATAGGTAAAGCTCTTTAGTTTTAACTCTTCAAAAGTATATTTGTATAGTTAATCCACGTGGCACCATATGATTGGATAAGGAGGACCCATTCGTCACACCAACACTTAAAATAAATTTCAACGGTAGGACAACGGAATGACCAAATTGGTTTGCATGACACATTTTCAAGGACTAAATTGATGAATTTACTATTTCAGGGACTATTATGATTGAAATGTCAAATTTCAAAGGCTAACGGTGATAAAAATCATTTGTGTGCCACACCAACACTTAACATAAATTTCAACGGTAGGACAACGGAAGGACCAAATTGGTTTGCATGACACATTTTCAGGACTAAATTGATGAATTTACTATTTCAGGGACTATTATGATTGAAATGTCAAATTTCAAAGACTAACGGTGATAAAAACCCCTATCCATTATTGTTTAAGGTTTTTGTTTTTCATATTCTTGTGATTCTATGTGTTGAATGGACTGCCTTCTTCAGTAACTTACCGACCATATCTTCCTCCTCAGGTTCATAAGATTTCTTTTCTATTTACTATTGTTTAAGGCGTGTCGTATTGTTGTGATCCTATGTGTTGAATATCCAAAAACAAACTACATGAAGAAACAATTATGTTACAAAACCCTTACATAATTATGCAGCAGTCTCGCAATCATATAACTCTCTCCCCCTTTCAATTACAAAGAATTAATACATCAACAGGTACCTAACCTATATACTTAAATATTTAGCTCACAGAACACACTTGTATGAAACTTGACTTTGTGGTAAATTAGGAAGGAAATTTGAAAAGAGATATCGAGAACGAAAGGGCCCCATTTTCTCCCAAGTTCCACATTCCTCTCCCCATTTCTGCTCAGTTTCCCCCTCCCCTTCCTAGTGCAGGCACTCCTCCTCATCATGTCTGGCTCCGCCACTCCAAACCGATGACTTCGGAATGTTAGAGCTTAGTTAGGTAATTAACTAAGTAGCATCAGAGGATGAGAGAAGGGGTTCATGTTCCCTTCCTTCTTCCAACTGTTCGCCATCTGAAATTTGATTGGATGGTTTTGCATTTCTGTATATCGCATATAACACTAGCTGCGTCGTTCCCAGAAGAAACCCTATCCCGTTAGGTACCTACGTACAACCATGCATGCACAAACCCACATATATATCGATCATCACATACTTTCAAAGACTACTTCACTTAACTGGGGAGGGGGGATACAAATTGTGGATTAATTTTTTTATATAAAAGAAAAAAGATATATATTTACCCCAAGGAAAACATCTTGTAAGAGCCAAGCATAAAATGTCCACACCCCTCCGTTGATGAAAAAGAAAAATGAGAGGAAGAATGGCATGTACTCCACACTCTTGGTTGTTACCACTGTTTTCTGAACATAATACAAACAATATGATATGTTAAGAGTGTTAGTATGTCCGACGTACATATACATTAAAGATTTAACCGTTAGATACTCGGTAAACAATCTAACAACAAAAAGTCTAACAATTGAAAATTTTCGTGTATAAATTACATTGGAGCAAAGAGAGTTTTCGTAGCATGTTCATCTATCTGAATTTCATGAATCTTGTCACGCCATATAAAGAGGAACATGAAGCATCAAATAATGCATGATTTATTTTCCAAACCTGCATGAAGCAATATAGGCCAAATATGGCAGGTGATAGGTTATAGCTTAGGGCCACATACAGTCCTAGCAAAGGTAGAATCTGGTCCGGACGTTCTATTTTTTATACAAGCAAATATAGGAGGGGAGCTCGGATGTAATGACAAATGTTCTTAACATATTTTGCTCTTTGGCTTTATTAGTTAAATATTTAAATGTATTTATATTACATTTATTCATCAACTTATATTGAAGATGTAACGAAAATCTATAAATATGGTAAATACATATAATTATACATCACTTAATCGTCAACAAATAGTTTATGTTTGGCTAATCATCTGCTTAGTGTATTTTTTTTAAATAAACATTAGTGGGTTAAATTGTTAGTTGTTAGGAAGAAAAAGAATCGATAGAGATCAAACACACACCACTGTACATAAGCATAATTGTATTCCGCAAGTGGGGTAAAATGCCATCTATATTACATGATATTCTCTCATCAAATTTTAATTGTGAAACAGATACTTGCATTGCTAAACTGTGACTCTAAAGTCTAAATTTTGCATTGATTTGGTAAATTATTCAAATTTCAAATTTGGCAATATAAGTATATTTTGTTACACAACACTTTTTGATTTAGAGGCTGAAATATTAGTATATCTTGTTACGCGACAATATAAGTATATTATATAATGGAGGCTGAAATACCTATTAAATTCTTTTCGGCTTCAAAAAATATATACTGTTATGACAAAACTGCCAACTGGTTCATTTTTTTTATAGTATATTTTGTTGTGACAATAAAATGTCCTATACACCCCGTATATATCAATGGCAGATGTGCACCCTATATATGAATATGATTGGCAGTTTTTGCGAACAGCTAGCTACCACCAACAAGTCAACAACTACACTTTATTAAAAAAATTATAAATTTTTCAACATTGCACAATGGGACTTCGGTATCAAGATTTTCAACAATAAGTAGAGGGCACGAAAAGAAATGGCTTATGATATAAAGGGTTTTTAAAAAGAAAAACTAATAAAAAAGGGTTTGAAAATTTTGAGTTTTAACCAAAAGGATAAAAGTATGTTATAAGGGAATGGTATTAGAAGTAATTTTTAGAGTAAAAATGTCATTAATGTTAAAAGTGAACATTACCAGGAGTGTTTTATTAAGACTTCCTTTTTTTAAAATTAACCTATCACGTTGTCACTTAGTACTATGGTCTAGTGATATTCTTTTTCATTTGTAAGTGAGAGGTTTTAGGTTCGATTATCGTTAAAGTTAAATTTGAACCACATTTAAAAAAACAAATTAACCTATCACGTTAAGATGATTTTGAAATTGAAATTTGAGTGATGTAATTCTTGAAAATAAGTGTCGCAAATTAATGTGATAATTTTATCATAACTTTGTCAAAAGTTATGTTATGTGCTAATGTAACATATATATAAATGAGTCCCATAAATCTAATTCAATATTGTCATGTGAAAAAATAAATAAAAACAAAAGTTCTGTTATATGCTGATGTGGCGCATAACTGAGTCCTACAAATCTAATCAAATATTGTCATGTGAACTAAAAATATTTAAATAATAAAAATAAAATTTTTATTTTTATATGATTAAAAACTTATAAAGAAAAGGTAAAAAAGGGCAGGTGAAGAAGGGGGAATGCAATTACCATAGGATGGTCCAGTGGTTGGAGATGAATTTCAGGTTGAATTTCACACATCACGCCTTGGTTTTGATTCTTGCCGCTAGTGAATCGCACGATAGTGGTTAATGGGTAACTGAAATGCCTCTGTGAGTCTTTTCAGCACCTGTAAGAATGGATTGTTGTGGCGAAGCCACTAGCTGACATTTTTTAAGAAAAAGAAGATGGGGGAATGCAACATTTAACATATGAGATTGTCCACTCATTACTACGGTATGATGGTGTTCATCTGCACAATCGTCGAAGAATGTGCCAGCACATTTCAAAAGATGGAATTTGAGATTGTGCAGGCGTGAGGAGGGATTTGGGTGTGGTTGTGCTCAATTGGAAGGGAAGAAGATGAATATATTATCTTCATTATTTGCATTAAGGGAAGGGGATGAGCTTAATCTCACAATAAGTTAGCAATAATATAGTTCTCATTCATATCTAAAACCTTTCACTTACAAATGAAGGGAATTATCACTAGAGAGTAGTAATAAATGACTTCATTTTTTAAGTTTTTAATTATATAAAAATAAAAATTGTATTTTCATTATTTAAATAGTTTTAGGGGCATTTAGATTTTTTTTTTTAACAAATGATATTATCTATACTAATTAAGGAGGATGAGAGTAAGTTAAACTTCACAATGAGATAGTAAATATGTGGTTCAAATTCGTCTTTGGTGAGAATCGAACCTAAGACCTCTCACTTACAAGTGAAGAGGAATAATATTAGATTGTAGTACTAAGTGGCAGGAGCATCTAGTTATGAATCCCAAAAATCAACATGACTATTAGGTTAAATTCAGAATTATCTTTTCTCCACTTTCTTTTTTTATATTCATTTTTTATATATTTTTTAATATTTGACATAAATTAAAAATTTTAATTTTATGCAACTTCTATTTATAACAAATCTACTTAATATACTAACATAAATCCATCTAGTGAACATACTAACTGAAGCAACAGATACATAACTGTATATTATACCTATAAGTGAGAAGTGAAACCTAACTAAAAAGTACAAAAGTATAATATACCCACAAGACATATTAATCTGTGATACAGATTGATTATAAAAATAATCTGTCATATAGGTAAATAAATAAAATTAACCTGTAATATAGATTATTACAAAAATTAAAAATAGATGGGGTTAAGAAGAAGGAAAAGAAGAACAAGAAATAACAAAAAGAAAAAGAAATAAAATGAAACGATTAAAGAGGTAATTAGAAAGAAATTTAATTTTTATAGTAACTCTTATCATTAAAGAGATAATTATTGATAACAAATAATTCTAAACTAAAGGAATTAGACTTATTTTAATAAATGGACTATTTTTAATATATTGGCTTAAAAATTTGGACTTATATCAAGTTTTTCTAAATTTTTAACGCACATAAAATTATTTAAAACTTTCATACATCAAGTTTTTTTAACCCTAATCTCATACCTAAAATTACATTTTTCTCTTAGATTCATACTTCTGTTAGTAATTCTGTTAAGGAGTAACGTGGCTTTCATATGGCTTCCACATGGCTTCCACGTGAATGATGGATGTGCATCTACTTGTCACTTTGGCCCCACATGGGCATTAAAAAAAACAAAAGAAAAAGTAATCCCCTTTAGATAAATTTCAAACCCAAAAGGAGAGTAAAACATCAAAACTCATTCAATTCAACTTCAAATTCATCCCAAGCAGATCCTCGTCATGGCTTGACCATTTGGACTCAACGAGAAGGCCTCGCCGGTGAAATATGGCGGCAAAGAGGCGTATGTATTGAAACCAGAGCTTTTTGGGGTTTAATTTCGGGTCTTTTTTCTCCTGCAGATGGTGGTGTTGCTGTGGCGTCACCGAAGAGTCCCAGCAAGAATAAGTTGCTGGTTTGATTGATTGATTCATCAAACTCCAAATTTAATTTTTTTTTTCATTCAATTTTATTTTCTTTTGAGTCAAAATACATATAGATGAACAAAAATGGCAAACTGTTAGGTGTGCGAGAACGATAGAGAAGTGTGCAGCAAAGGGTTCGGGAGAGGAAGGGGACGACGTGGTGGGTGACGAAGGGGGGACATGGGGAGAGCTTGAGGGAGTGGTGACGGGGGAAGTTTGGACTCAATCGGCCGGAAGTGGAGGACATGGGTTGGAGGTAGACCTCACATGGTGGTTCCCAATCGAGATTTCATAGCCGGAGTTGTTGGCGGAAGAGCTCCAGGTTTAGGTCCATTTGAGGTGGTGGTGGGCGCAAAGCTGGAGCTGTGGAGGCGCTAGAGATGCTTGGTCACTGAGGTGGGATTGGTGTTGGCGGAGAGGAGGGTTTCTTCGCTTGGGGCCAGAGGGTTTCAAAGAGTATTTTAGTTTATTTCTTTTAATTTTTTAATGTTTACATTGATCCAAATTGACACGTGACGTCCAGTCATTATCCACGTAAACGTCACATCCTGCATTAACAAAAGTTTTGAAGGAAAGCCTAACAAAAGTATTAAAGGGTCTCACAACCCACACTTTAGGTATTAGGTACGAGATTAGAATGAAAAAAACTTGATGTATAAAAATTTGAAAATCATGATACTTTAGAGTAGTAAAGTGAAAACTACTCTTGTATTATAATTATATTTTTAAAATGAAGTTGGTCAACGACAGAAATGATATTTAATTTAATTATTATATGATAAGATTATTTGAAACAAATATGGGCGTATTAAGAATAATTTAGGTGTTGAATGACAAAAAGAAAGTAGAATTTGGGTCTCCTTACCATGACAACTAGAGGCGATGCGTACATGATGATATTCAAGCCTGCACATATGAATCCTATTGCATCAATACGTGTATCTCCCACCAATGCCAACCATGTAGCTAAAATGGCTACTGCTAGAAAACCCACATCCAAGGTTCCAATCAAGATGACAGTTTTTACCTGAAATATTGAGACACAGACATCATTCTAGACGGTTAGTTAAAATAGTACAAGTAACATAATTCAAACTTAATATAACACATTTTAGGCAAAAATCATTATTTGACCGTCAAATTCATAGTTTGGCAAGCGAGTATTTTTCTAATTACTATGAAAATGTTGGGCTTCCATCATAAAATCAGTTTGCAATATCGGAAATAACCCAACTTCCTATAAGCATTTGCAAAGTTTATTCTTTCAATGAATAACAAAATTAACATTCCATACCCTCATTTTTGCCGGGGCATATTTAAGAAACAAACAAAGGTAGATAATCTCAACAGTAGCTCCAAAACCATTGATAGTAGCCACAAGTAATTCTCCGGACTTAATGATTCCATAGTAAGTCCACAGGGAGGAGTTGAGCAGTGTGCAAACATAAGGCAGGCTCTCAAAGTCCTCCGTCGATCGGTGTTTTACGATTCTCCAAAACGTCGGACTGCATACAAAAATATATACATTAATAATTAATAACACACCGTGTGTCTATCGCTCGAAACCCTAACAAAATGCCAGAGTTTTAAGTACCACTTGAAAGTTGCTAACTAAGCTTATTGGATCTGTAGCTCTAATTAGCTCTTTTAAGGATTTGAAGCTTGAAATTAAGAAGAGATGATTAAGATATTCTTACACAGGAGCAAGGAACATTAACACTGAGATGATGTTGCCTGCAATATATGAAAACGTAAACCATGAGGATTACCTTAATTAATTAAAATACAGCATTACATCCCTAATAATGCAAATTAAAAAGTTATTATTACCTATGACTCCAACAAAGAAACTCAGGCCTTCCATGTTTATGGAGTTCGACGGACCCCTTAATTGGTTCCTCTTCTCTTTGTAACAGGCGTTAGGAGGAGCTGGGTTTAGAGAGAGAGAGAGAGAGCGAGAGAGAGAGAGAGAGTTTCTTGATTCCAACATAACATATACTATGGCTGCATCAATTTTTAACAATATGGTTGAATAGTAATAATAAAATAATTTTATGGTAGGATTATACATCCACATACTCTTTGTGCTATTGAATAATTTTTATCTCCTTTTCTTCGGCCAAAAGTTGTGGGTCTATCTACTCAGTGGAAACCATTTTCTTGTCGTGGAAAAGTCTTTCTCCACTGTCCAATAATGTGTATTAAACAGGAAGACTTGAGACCACGTGCTGAACATATAACTTAAAGCTTTCCGGGAAGAATAACGCAGACAGATCATTTGGGTTAATTTCGATATATAAACAGCATATGTAATATCATGATTTTCCTCCTTTTTCATGATCGATCACGATCTTTCTCCCTTATCCATATATTCAGGTAGCAGTGATACTCCTTTTTTCATCTCCTGACACTCTTCCAATTACTTGTTTATTGATTATTCTTTAATTTATTCAATTTAATAATTAAAAAATTCGACAAAAAAATATTTAATAATATATATATATATATATGAGTGCAAAATGTGAGAAATGAAGTCCGGAAATTACTGTTATATAACTTGTTTGAAAATAATAATAAATATTATCAATGAAACCAACTAGTTTAGTCATCAACCACTTTGAAATGTATTGGTTTTTATTCAGTTGGTTGAAGGATATTAAATAGAGAGCTCAATAATTAGTTTATTAGCTAGGTTTCAGCATGCATGACCTAACCCATACAGCAAACAAAGATAAGTGCTTATAAGTAGCTTGTAGTTCAGTTGGTTAATAGAATTTGTTTATGCATCTGATGTCATGTTTTCGAATTCCCCTTCATGTAGTTTTGAAAGAAAAAAAGTGCTTTACAAATGGATTTGTTCCTACAAATACAAATATGTGGTTTTCGTCATTTAATACTTTCGTGGAAATATAAAAAAAGAGAAATTAGGTTGACATATTTCTTTTTTCAATTCCATTGATTGAAACATTATTTCTTTTCAATTTTTAATTAAGGTCTCTTGGTTTTAATAAACATTATTAATTATTTCAATAATAAAATATTTTACATATCAAGATAATTAAATTTTATTTCTAAATTATTCATTTAGTGTTAGAAACGTTACATTTGATATATTTATATTTATGGCTAAATTTTGTATCATATATTTTTATTTTTAGTTTGTACCATTTTAATTTGCAACCTTTTTTTTTTTATAAATTGTGTCAATTTTCTATTCAGTTTTAGTTTGTACATATATATTAATTTCTTTTTGTGTCCATATTTTTCAAAATTTTATTTTTACTCATATTTTATTTTTACCTTTTATTTGTACCCATAATTTATTAATAATGTACCCATTTGTCTTAAAAAATGTACCCTTTTTTTTGTAAGTACCATCTCTTTTATGTAAAATGTGCCCATTGTTTTTTTTATATGAAATGTACCAATTATATAGAATGTATCACTTTTTTTTTTGTATAAATGTACCAACTTTTTGTATGTAAAATGTCATTAATATGAGTAATGAGTAATGACAAATCATGGGTTTTATTTAAGCATAATTTTTTTTAATATTTTTAACAAATTATGGATTTTATTTAAAATCTCATTAATATAAATAACTACAATATCAAATTTTAATTTAAAAATTATAATAACCTACATAGAAATGTATTATTGTATTAATTTTAGGAACTTCAATAAAAAATCGAAAACCAACAAGGTTTCAATAAAAAAACGTTGACAAATAAGGACCGGATCCAAAGTCATCCTGGAAAATATGGATCCGTGTTCTTTTAGGAATCAAGTCAGATTTTTCTTAACTTTGTTGGCTTGTAATTATGGTTTAAGAATAAGGTGGTCCGAATGAAAGCTTGATTTACAAGAAGTAACATATATATAATAGGACGATCTTTCTTTTTCCCTTTATTTATTTGATGTTTCGGTGTCGGTTGGCCAAATTATTGGCATTGGCGGGCCTTATACTGCTGGAGCACTGGGATCACATAACATGTATGGACATCGATCGGCCATAAAAGAGCTATATGGATCATCTGGAGATTTTCAACCAGAAAAAAGAAGAAAAAGTTGGGATTTTTATCCCTTTGATATTTTATTATTAATATATGTTATGTAAGATCAAAGTTATGCGCACGTTTGATTAGATGTGCGCTAACGTGCTCGAACGAAATGCCGTGCGTTTTCCGATAGAAAACAGATCATGGAAGGAAGGGATCCTTATCCTTGTATTATATATACAAACACATGTAGCATGCATTGTGAAAATCTTGGCACGTGAATTATACGTTGTAGATGTAAATTTCCGTCTTCTTTTTCTTTGATAAAATTGTACCTACAAAACAATTAACATATTAGGTCAAGGCCAAGAGCCTCACGCATCCATGATGAATTGGGGAGGGGGGCATTTGGTCGAAGAACCTCCGATGCCAAAGTTAGAATTTAGAGAGAAAAATGTTAGGAGAATTTAGAGAATTTTGCAAGAATGTTGAACTTAGGTTTTCAGATAAAATAGGGTGCTATTTATACGGGTGTGGCCGGTCCCTTTGGGAGACATGGGAACCAGCCACTTTAGTGGTTTTTTGGGTGTGATTCACAATTCATTAGCTAATTAATGAATTAATTGAGTAATCAATCAATTAATTAGCCAATTAATATAATTTGAAAGAAATAATTTAGGAGTTACCTTGTGGGGAAGATTTGATGAGGATGGATGAAATAGGTTTTGAATAATTATCTATTTTGACCACTTGTGACCTTGATTGAAGGATGATTGTCTACCGCGTAGAAATCCCGATGTGCCTCAAGGGTAATCTTGTCATTTTTGCCCAAAGATCCAAGTGTCGTCTCCATATTTTTCTTGATTATTTTTAGCTCCACAAATGCCCCCACACCTGTTGGGTTGCTCGTAGGAAAGGGCAGCAGGTGTAGAGATCTTCTTGCTTTAGGAAACATAGGATTGTTTCCTATTTGATGTTGATTCCCTCTTTAATTGGAAATTAGATCCTTCTAGGAAAGGGAAATAAATTTCTCTCAAAGCCTATTTAAGTCTACCTTAAGTAGATTATTAAATCAACTTTGGATAGAGATTTATTTTTCCCTACAAGAGAGAGAAAGAGAAAGCTTAGAGGATATTTGTTCCCCCTCCCCTAGCAATCTTCTTCATCTCCCCGTGCAAATGATCGTCTTTCGTTGCTTGCTTCGTCTTCATGCCGCTTCAAGGTAAGAAAAATTTAATTTTCCTTGTCTTCTTAATTTTTGGGAGCCTCGGGGCTTGAAATTTGGCTGGACGGAGGTCGAGGATGTGTGAAAAAAAGGCTTGGGGAAGTCACGGCATGGTTGCTGTGAGTGGTGAGATGCGCCGTGGTTTGGGCTTGGCTGATTGCACTTCCTTTTCTTTTTTCTTTTTTTTTTGCTGCTAGGGTTAGGCCCATGCATGAGAGGAGAGAGAGATGCCTGGCGTGGTCGCTGTGTCCTTACGGTTTGGGTCGTGACTTTGGGCCTGATACTGTTTTATTTATTTATTTATTTATTTTTATTTTATTTTTGTTGAGCTCGGGCCCGTGCCTAAGGAAATAGAGAGAGGCCGAGAGCCCTATTGGGCCGTGGGGCCTATTGTGCCCTGTCCTTTTTCCTTCTTTTTTTTTAAGCAATCGTCTAACAAATCTTCCTTGCATCTTTGTAGAATCTCTTCGAACATGTCTTCCTCGAACCACAAGAATGATGATGGGATGCCATCATTGTATCGCCAAGGCGAGTCTTTGAGCAAGGTTGGCTACTTCAAGGCTGCTCACTTCAAAATTAGCTCTGATGACTTGTTTAGAGACTTCCTTAAGGCGTATAGGCATGTTATTCCTTCGAGAGTGCATGTGAAGCATGCCAAGGATGGTAGCAACTGTGAGCCATGTGGTGGGGCTCAGAGGGCCATCAAGTTCCACCCTTATTACTTTGTGTTGGGATTTACTTTCCCCATGCGTCGTTTCTTCCAGGAAGTACTTTGCTCTATGAAGTGTGCCCCCGCTCAATGTTCTTTGAATGTGGTCCATGTGATGGTGGGATTCCTCAATCTAAGCCAATTCTTTGACTTAGATCTAACCATCAACGAATTTTGGTACTTCTTTGACATTGGCCACATCGAGGGAGTTAGGAAGCTGTGGTCTTGCCATAGGCTCTTCAATCATTCAAGCAAGGGAGATCATGACTGGGCTAAGGAAACTTTGGAGATAAATGGAGAATGTGAGTCTGATTCTTCCTTTGAACTGCATGTTCCAACGATCTTCATATCCAGTAAGTAGGATGCTTAATCTCTCGACTGCTTTGTATTTGTGTTGAGCTGCTATCTAATTTTTTTTATCATCTCCCGTTGCTTTTGTAGATTCGGAGTTTGGCTCAACTCCTAAGACTTTTCTGGACCAAAAGAAAGTGCATGTTGCTCAGGGTATCTCTTCCGAGTACTATGAGTGGCGTTGGCTGCTTAGTCTTCTTCTTATGGAGAAAGGTGGGCTGCCCCCAAGAGAGGAGATAAAGCGGATCAAGGCAGAGGCATTGGCTCGTCCGATCATCGTTGTGAAGCCCGTTGTAACTGAAGGTGGGAAAAAGAGACCTTTCCCACCTGCTCAAGAGACACATGCTGAGAAAAAGCCAAAGACTTATTCTGCTGCTTATAAGGGTTCGCTAGCTGCTCCCAAGCTTGTGATTGACTTAACTTCTCCCAAGGGTGAGAAAGATGAAGTTGCTAGATCCATGCCGGTGATGCATGCTGTTCCAAAGGTGACTAGTTCGATTGTTGATAGGATTGCTCAGTGTAGAAGTTCCTACATGGCTCCAGTGCCGAAATTTGTGCTAAAATGTTCACTTTTAGAGAGGTTTACTACTATGAAGAGTGACAAGGTTTCTTTGCCTGCTGAAGTGGCGCCAAAACCTGTTCCTTCTACTGCTGAGACCAGCTTGTCTGCTAAGAAGAATGAGACTACTCGTGTGGGAAACTGTGAGAAATCCACCAAGTTTGCTTTCGCGGAAGCTACTGAGATTTGTGCGCTTTTGAGACCAAATCTTCTCGAGGACATGGATGTGTGTGCCAAA